GGTGGAGCTGTCCATGGGGCCACGAAGCGTATGCTGGGGCGTGCCGACGTGGTACGGGCCGCCATGCGAGTTCTGCTACTGGGGCCTTCGGTGGAGCTCCCTCTGGGGCCACGGAACGTTTGGGTGTTGTGCCGGGATGGGGCGCGGCCGCCATGCGAACCCTGCCGTTGGGGACGTCGGTGGAGCTACCTGTGGGGGTCCGAAGCGTGGGAGGGATGTGCCGAGATTTGGACACGCCGACATGCGAATACCGCCATTGGGGCCTTCGGAAGAGCTCCCTATGGGACCACGAAACGTGTGAGGGGTGTTCCACAATGTGGCGGGGCCGCAATGCGAACCCTACCACGTGGGCATTCGATGGGGTTCCCCGTGGGGCCACGAAGCGTACGAGGGGCGTGCAGAGATGGGTCGGGGCCGCCATGCGAACCCTGCTACTGGTGCCTTCGGTGTAGTTCCGCATGGGGCCACGAGATGGGGCGGGGCCGCCATGCGAACCCTGCTACTGGGGCCTGCTGTGGATCTACCTGTGGGCCGTGAAACGTGTGAGGGGTGTGCCGAAATGGGCGGGGAAGCCATGCGAACCCTGCCATTGCGGCCTTCGGTGGAGCTCCCTATGGGGCCACGCGTACCGAAATGGGGCGGGGCAGCCTTGCGAACCCTGCCACTGGGGCCTTCGGTGGATCCCCTATGGGGCCGCGAAAAGTATGAGTGGTGCGTCGGAATTGGCATGCGGAGGGGGGAGGTGCATTTGGAGGAGGAGGCAGGTGGACGCGGAGCGCTGTCTTTTCTAAGCGAGGACCCAACACCACAGGATGGTTTGGGAAAGTAGATGGAGGACGTCGGAAACATTCTTTTGCGAGCGTGACACAGCACCGGAAACCCAGGCACATTCAAAGCGTTTCACCGTGTCAGTCCCGATAAGAGGCCGGAAAGCATAGAGGCCTGGAAGCATATGTGAACAGGTCGAAATCTTTCCTTCATTCAAAGCACAAGTTCAGGTGAGGGCCTCTCCTCATTCACTCCCCTTCCTCCCCACAACGTCCATCAAGCTCGCCAGTCGAGCATGGAAGAATTCAAACATCCAGAGCATGTACATATTGCCTGCGGGAGTTCCAAAAACACAAACACTCTTTTCGAAACTTAGTCGACTCGGGGGTCGTCGGATTGGGAATCGCAATTTATTTGAAAACCGTTGGATCGCCAACCAAACACGTATAAGTAACAAAAGGGTTTTTGTGTTGGTTCTGAAAAAATACGAAGCACATTCGCATTTTACAGCTTTGTCGGCGTGGAGGTCGTCCGCTTGGTAACCCCAAGGATTCGGAAAACTGCAGCCACATAGCAAGACGTAAACCACCCACGCGCGGGGTTTCAAAGACAACACATTTCGTAACTTAGTCGTTGTGGGGGTCATCAGACTGGGAATCCAGAGTGTACCTAGTCGGCTAAGTTCCGAGAAGATTTTGTGGTTGGGAGTTGTTATTTGTCTTGGGGAACCCTTACAAGGATTTGTTTGAATCATTGTTTGTTGGATTCACTTTGGTTTTGTTTCGATGGCTTGGTATTCGAATTTGATTTCAAACACCACGATCCCCGGACCGACTAAAGTTCCGAACGCATTCTCTCTGGACCCTCACAGTGATGAATTGGTTTCTGTTTTTTTTGACAAGGATATTGGTGATGATATCTCCAGCTATTCCTTCCCGTCCTCCTCTTCCTCCTCATCTTCATCCTCGACCCCCTCATGGCTCAGCTCACCCGGGAGATTCACACAAGCATGGCAGTGAATTGATACAGCAAACAAGCAACGTCAACAATCAGAATCGCAGTTGCGCCACAAACACAAGTAAACACAGCAACGCAAAACCGCCAAAGTTACCAAGCAACCAATCAGCTATTGCACCTCCTTCTACTCCTGCTACTACGGCTAATACTGCCACCACTCCTACTACTTCTTTCACTACCTCTAGTACTACCACTCTTACTACTTGTGCTATTACTACAACTACTACAACTACGAACACGACTAATATTTCTACCACCGTTATTACTACTGCGATTATCTTGATTTTTACGTATTCATACCATTATTGCTACTGCTACTGCGACTACGACGACTACTACGACTACTACTACTACTACTACTACTACTACTACTACTACGACTACTCCTGCTACTAGTACTAGTACTACTACTACTACTACTACTACTACTACTACTACTACTATTACTACTACTACTACTACTACTACTACTACTACTACTACTACTACTACTCTTACTATTACTACTACTACTACTACTACTACTACTACTACTACTACTACTACTACTACTACTACTACTACTACTACTACTACACATACTACTCGTGATATGTTAGCTTCTCTTACTATCTTTACGACCCGTAAGACATGTAGTACAACAACAACCACTCGATTTTTTCTCACAGGGCTACTACTTCTGCGGGTACTTTCACTACCACTGTGATCGGTATGACCACTGCTGTTATTGGTAATCCTACCTCTAGTTCTACACGTACAACTACTACGACTGCTACTGTTGCCACTTCTACGAAGACTACATCTAGTACTACTACTTCTTGTCTACGACGACTACTATTTCTACGGCGACGACGACTACTTTTACTACTACTACGACGACTACTGCTACTACTATTGTTATCACGACTATTGTCACGACTACGACTACGTCTACGGTTACGTCGACGGCTACGACTAGTACTATTGCGACTACGACTAAAGCTACGACTACGACTACTATCACTACTACGATCAGACAAATGTTATTGCTAATATTTCCTACTACTACTACTACTACTACTACTACGGCTACTACTGCTACTACTCTTACTACTACTAGTACTACTACTACTACTACTACTACTACTACTACTACTACTACTACTTCTACTACTACCACCAATTCTACGACTACTACTACTTCTTCTTCTACTACTACTACGACTACTATTACTACTACTACTACTACTACTACTACTACTGCTATTACTGCTACTACTACAACGACTACTACTCACACTATTATTCACTCTGCCACTACGACCACCACCACAGTGTCGTACATGTCCCGTACGAGTACAAACCTTTTACAACCTTATGACCACGATGTTGCCACCATTCTTAGCCGTACTCCATTCTATTACCACCACTGCTACCACCCTACTTCCACTTCGACTTCTATTACCACAACTACTACTACTACGTCTAGTACGATCACTAATACTACGACTATTACTATTATCTTTACTACTACTGGTATTACTACTACTACTACTACTACTACTACTACTACTGGTGCTTCTGCTATTACTATTACTCCTACTACGAATGCGACTGTGACTACGAATACTATTGCCACCTACTACTACTACTACTACTACTACTACTACTACTACTACTACTACTACTACTACTACTACTACTACTACTACTACTACTACTACTACTACTACTACTACTACTACTACTACTACTACTACTACTACGACTACTACTACTACTACTACTACTACTACTACTACTACTACTACTACTACTACTAGATTTATTATTTAATCGCTTCGCTCATTCCGCCGGCCCTTGAACGCTCTATGGGGCCTCTTTGAAGCCTCTTGGGGGCCTCTTTGGGGCCTCCTAAGGGCCTCTTGGGGGCCATTTGGGGGTCTCTTGGGGTTCCTTGGCGGCGTCTTGGGGCCCCCGTGGGCCTCTTGGGGGGCTCTTGGGGGCTTCTTGGGGCGGGGTAGTCGAGTGCACCCCCCTCGGAGGCCACAATCCTCGTGAGGGGTGTCGAAAAAAGGCCTTCAAAACCATCTCTGAGTAGACCTTCCCGGGCTGCGGTCGGGGTACTCTTCGCCGGGGGACCCCCAGGGGCCGCCCCACGCGCACGAACTAGAAGAATTGTTAACGAGTGCTTCTTCTATACGGCTACTTCTTCTATTACTACTACTTCTACTATTACTTTTACTACTACTACTACTACTACTACTACTACTACTACTACTACTACTACTACTACTACTACTACTAGTACTACTCCGACTCCTACTCCTTCTACTACCCTTTCTATTACTACTACTTCCACGACTACGACCATTGCTACTATTACTACTACTACTACCACTACTACTACTACTACCACTACTACTACTACTACAACTACTACTACTACTACTACTACTACTACTACTACTACTACTACTACTACTACTACTACTACTACTAGTACTACTACTACTACTATGACTACTACTACTACTACTACTACAACAACTACTACTACTGTTACTACTACTTCTACAACAACTACTACTACTACTACGACTACTACTACTACTTCTACTACTACTACTTCTACTACTACTACTATTTATTATTATTATACTTCTTCTACGTCTACTACTACTCGTGTTACTACTACTACTACTACTACCACTACTACGATCGCTACTACTACAACAACAACTATTACTACTACGATACGACTACTACTACTAATGCCACCACTACTACATATACTTTCACCGTTACTCCTACAACTACACACCTACCTACCTGCTACCTACCTACTACTTCTGCTACTACTACTGCTTCAACTTTTGACTGTGCTACTACTGCTACTACTACTGCTACTACTGCGGCTACTACTACTGCTACTACTTCTACTGCTATTTTCTACTACTGTTACTACTACCACTACTACTAGTACAATTACTACTACTGCTACTACTACTACTACTTCTACTACTACTGCTACTACTACTACTACTACTACTACTACTAGTAGTAGTACTACTACTACTACTACTACTACTACTACTACTACTACTACTACTACTACTACTACTACTACTACTACTACTACTACTACTACTACTACTACTACTACTACTACTACTACTACTACTACTACTACTACTACTACTACTACTACGCGCCCGTCCCGCGCGCACGGCGAGGGCGATGGCCTTCGCGCTGAGTCTTGCGGCTGGCGTGATGGCCACCATCTCCGCAGAGATGCTCTGGCCCCACTGGCACGAGATGCTGTCGCCCCAGGATCGAAGAACTCGCTGCCCCCAGTGCGTTGACTGCTGCCATCCCGTGGCATGCACGCCGCCGCATATGTACCCGCTCCAGAAAAGGGGGTCTCGCCGTCAGCGCCTCTTCTCGGCGGCAGCCGTCGGAAGGCCGGCGGACGCAGGCGGAAGCAAGTTGGTGGCCGGTCCATCGGCAGATGATCTCGATTCCACGTCAGAGTGACCTTTCGCCGGAGTAACTTGTGGTGCGGGCCCACCAGGGCTCCTCGATCGTTGGAAGCGATGCAATAGCAGTGGCTTGCGCGCTCTTTTTTGGCCCCTCCGCACTCCCCTAAACGCGCACCAAGGGTAACTTTTGCGCCTCCCCGAGGAACGTCGGCGGAGCGCGGCCTGAGTGTAGCTGTGATATGAGCGTTCTCGGCGACACCCAATTCTACTAATACTATGAGTGCGTCGCCTCCCCAGGGGCGGCGCCGAGAAACAATTCAAAGTGTAAGCTCCGTGGCGTGCGCTTTCTGGCCATACCGCTCAGGAAACGATGTACTACAAGGTCGTTATACTGTATGTTCGGTTCGGACCCACGCTTCCAAGGAGGACGCATAGTTCAGGGGGCGAAGAACGGTATGAAATAAACTTTCAGCCGCCCGGGGAGCAGGCGTCAACGACGGCGGAGACGTTCAATTTATACCGTTTTTTGACCGCCAAGTAGTATTAGTATGTCCTTGCGCGGCCCACACAGTGGGCCCCCCGGGGTTCCAGAGTTTGGTCGTGCAGAGCTCAGGCCGAGAGGAGCGTTGCGGCATGGCCGCGGTGCGTCCATTGTCCCACCAAACGTACAGTTGTTGGAGAGGGGGATGGGGGAGGAGAGTCGAGAGATACACATTCGGAGGTACGAAGTCGGAAGGGGGAGGACTCGAGAGATACACAGTCGGGATGGGTGAGACGAGATACACATTCGGGATAGGAGAGACGAGAGGTACACATTCGAGGGGACAGCGTGTCGAGGGGTACACGTTCGGGACGGGGGAGGAGAGTCGAGAGTCGGTGATACGCAGCAGACGACATGAACATACGCTTTCGGAGATCCGTGCGGATCGGTTGGGTCAGCGCCAGGCCTCCCTGGCGTCGATTCCCTAGCGTTGCCCCCAAGGAGCGCTTCGCGCCCCCGCGGCGAGGGGCCCAGCGCGTCCAGCGCCGGCCGGACAAACCTGCGCGGGCCTCCGAGTTAGCTCATGCTGCGTTTGATCTTCCAGAGGGAGGGAGGGAGGATGGAGGAGGGAGGAGCGAGGTGCTCGTCCGCCGTCTTAGATCTCCTTGACGCCCGTTTTGGTCCCTGGGGGCCGTCACGAGTCCATCCGGTACGACAAACCTGCCTGGATGAAACCTTCATTAGGTGGGTCCAGAGCTTGGCTGGAGGACGGGGAGGAGGGCTCGGAGAGCGCCAACCACACACACACCTACACCGTGCCTGGCCAGGCCGATGCTGGGCTCAGGATTTGGGTATCTACTTTCCTGCCAGAGCCAGGAGAGCGTATGCACCGATCCCGTGCCCAAGGTGAGCTTGGCCAGTGTCCGTGTGGGTGTGTGTTTGGCGCCCTCCTGAGCACCCGCCCTGGGCTCCGGGGGCCGTCATCATTTTCGTCCGAGGGCAAAGGTCGAAAGGAAAAACAGGCGTGCTGGGGAACACAGCACCTCAGCCTCGGGTGCACGCTTGGTGGGGAGGTCGGGGGCCGTCCTGGAGCGGTGCTCGGTCGGAGGATGAGGGCGAGGGCGGAGGGCGGAGGAGGCCGGACAGGAAGAGAGCGGGGGGCGGGGGAGGAGGACGAGGGCAGGAAGAGGGCAGAAGAGGAAAGCTAGAGGGGATGGGGAGCAGGGCGAGGTAGAGCAGGAGGGAGGAGGGGCGCTAGGAGAGAAGAGGAAAGGGATGAGCATCATGCTGTTGGTGGTGACGACGGTGACGGCTGAATCTGACGATGCGGATGGAGATGATCATAGTTGTGTTGATGGTAATGATGGTGATGCTGATGGTGATGGTGATGGGGATGATGATGGTGATGATGATGGTGGTGATGATGATGGTGATGATGATGGCAATGATCCTGATGATAATGTTCATGAGAGTGGTGATAGCGATGGTGATGGTGATGTTGGTGATGACGATGGCGACGACGATAATGACGATGATGATGACGGTGATCATGATGATGGCGATTATGATAGTAGTGGTTGTTATGGTGATGGTGCTGGAGGAGCAGGTGCACAGGCCTCCACGTGGCCGCTCCTCGGACAACACGTTCAACGGGGACTGGGCGGGTAGATGTAGGAGTGGTGTGTGTAGTGGTTGTGTGTCCCCCCTGGTAGTGTGCATAGTGTTTCTATCCACGGTCTTTCATTGTAAAGCTATGGACGTGGCTAACCCCAACCCCTTTAGGGGTGCCCCCACTGGCGCTGCTGGGGGAGAAGATCTGGTGGGTGCGCTTCGTGGTGCCTCTGGGTGGGCGTCGTACGGGTCTTCTTCCGTGGTCTCGGCTTGGATTGGGGGCGGGAGTGCACAACCCCTCCGGGGCGAATCGACGGCGGGGGCGGTTGGGTCCTCGGACCTTTCCCCTGCCTCGCGCTCCGAGAGGGCAGGCGGCTGCGCCTCTGGCCCCGGCGAGTCGCACAGGGCGCCTTCGGACACGCGTCGTCGGATGGAGCTCCAACAGGGCCCTCAGAACACGGACCGGCCGACCAGGTGTCAGAGACGATTGGTGCGCATCAGGAGATGGAAGACGGTTCAGAAGGCGAGGAAGTCTCGAGCGAAACGGTGTCGTGCTTTCTATCGCTTGTCTCTGTTGAGGAAGTCTCGAGCGAAACGCGTGCGTAAAGGCTCGGAGGAGATCTTCCTCCGGGGAGGAACCTGGAACACGCGCAAACTTGGATCGAGTAGTGGGTATGAGCCATCGCAAATCAAGCTTGAGTGTTTTTTGCAACTGATGGAAGCTCGTAGGTGGGAGTTTGGCATGTTCACGGACGTCAACTTTTATCAGAATGGCGTCCGGGAGTATGATGTTGGGACAGAGGTATGGACATTTGTCATTCGGGGCAAAGTGTGTGTGGTGCTGAATCAACGCCTTACGGCATTATGGAGGGAGGGGGGATCGAGGGTAGTCGTTAGGGGGAAGTGGGATAGGAAGGGGGTGCGGGTCATGGGGGTTGTGTTGCCCCGGGAGGGCCAACGTCGTGGACTTTCCTTGGTTGCTTGTTACGCCCCCGTCTCGGGCACCGCCAATGAGGAAACCAGAGACGCCTTCAACGAGGAATTGCGGCACGTGGAATCACGTGTGCGAGCGCACGACAATTTACTCATCGTTGGAGGAGACTTCAATGCTGAAGTTGGGCGCCCGGGAGGAGGGGGGGAGGAGGAGGAGGAGGATTTGTCTCAAGTTATAGGGGCCCACGGCACGGCCCGCCGGAGTGCGACCGGCTCCGACCTGCTCTCCCTATGCTCGTCGGTGCCGCTCTTTGTGCTGAGCACGGCGTATGCGCAACGAGAACCAGCCACTTGGTGGCACCCGCGTTTCAGGACGGGGCACCAACTTGACCATGTTCTGGTCCGGCCGCGCGATCGTCGTCACTTCACGGATTGCAAGTCCCTGCGCTTTGGTGCTGAGGGGGGGACCGCGTCGCTGCAGCAAAGACCAGCGCGAAGACGACGCAGACGGCGCAACCGGGCCTCGGCGCAGACAGTCAGGGAGGACGGGGTCATCGCGTGGGCGTCGTACACCGACCACGACCCGGTCGAGGTGGGGGTGCGCCTGCAGGGGCGCTGGCCGGCCCCGCGCCGGGCCCCCAATACTAGGCCCCCCACCCCCAACTACGCGGGCCTGCTGGGACCATCCGAAAGTGCTCAGACAAAAAGAGACCATTTCGCAGCCAGGATGACGCAGATATTGAGGAATTTAGAGACGCAGGCTGACTGGAAGGAAATCTGCCGGGTAGCAAGGGAGGTCGGGCTTGAGGTCCTAGGTCCACGGGAGCGGCGACACCAAATCCCTTGGCTGCAGGGGCATGAGTCGGAGAAGAAGGCGCTGGACGCTGCGGTGTCTGAGGCGGTTTCCGCGTGGCGAAGTGCACCGGAAGGAGAGCGGGAAAGGACACTTGTGGCCAAGCGCAAGGCGAACCGTGACCGTCGGAGGCAGCTCCGGCAGTGGGAGCGGGCGTACTGGAAAGGTGTCGGCGTACGGGCCTCCGCTGCCTCCCATAGCGGGGATCAGGGTGAGTTGTTTCGGCTCTTCCGTGACTTGCGCCTCCGGCGAGGCGACCGAGGGGACTCTGGCCGCTGGACAGCGGAGCGGGCGGAGCAGGAGAGGGAGCTTTGGAGAGCGCACTTTGAAGCTATTTCGGGGAATGTGGGGTTAGTGGCAGAGCACGTATGGCGATCGGTACAGGCAGTCCCCGTCTCGGCGGAGTGGCTTGACTCCTCTCCCACTGACATAGAACTCGATGCATGCGTGCGCAAAATGCAAACTGGCCGCCAGCCGGGAGATGACGGATTTGTGGCGGAGGCACTTAAATTCGGGGGCGCGGAGTTGCGCAGCCGAGTCTTTGAGATCGTCCGCACTATGTGGACTAGGGCAGTCCAGGCAGACCCTGGGGAGGAGGGCACAACGTGGCCGGAAGAATGGCAAGTGGGCCTTGTCGTCCCCCTGTGGAAAAACAAAGGCAATCGAAAAGACAAGAATACGTGGCGCGGGATAACCCTGCTGTCAGTCGGGTCCAAACTATTAGCTCGAATTGTGGCTTCTCGCCTCTCCCAATGGTCAGAAGGATTTATAGGGGAGGAGCAATCGGGATTCCGCCGGGGCAGAGGGACAGATGATGCGCTTCAAGTTACGCGCCGGTTAATTGAGGAAGCCGCGGCCTCGCGAACGGGCGATATAGTGGTATTCACGTTCTTCGACATTGAAAAGGCATACCCTAGGGTGTGCCGCCCGGCGCTGTGGCGGCTGCTGGGTCACCGTGGATGCCCCCCGGGAT